AGAAATAAGGACAAGAGGTTGCTTTGGACATTACTGGCAGCGAGTAAGAAAGCCATAACCAGGAAGTGGCTAAAACCGGACCCTCCAACCATCGAAGAATGGGTCAACATAATTCAAGAAGTGTACATTATGGAGAAACTTTCATTTACTCTCAAGATTCAAAGGGACATGTTTTACCAAATTTGGTCAAAATGGACTGAGTATGTCAAACCCATACGGTCAGACTTTGTATGAGAGGTAACTGTTCTAAGTGAATGAAAAACATTTTTGTACAGGTACTCTTCCCACAATTGTATGTTCATGTTTAAAAATTGAAAAAATAAAAATTATAAACAGATTTTCTTTGGACTTTTCCTCCAGCCTTGAGCTCCAATGCTAACACGCTAACCACGGGTGTAGAGCTGCGCTGATGCCCAGAATGGAGCGTCATGCCCTGGGAGTCATTTTGAGAGCTCCCTTATGCTAACAGTCTTAAAGCTGCACTAACTGACTTTGGGATTTTGAAGCCGTGGACTCTCTGGCCTCTCTCTTCCCTCCCCGCACCCACGAAGCTATCGCCCCCCCACACACACTCACTGTTGGGACGGAGCTAGCGTCTCCCAATATGGATAATACATGGATATGGATTTGCACGTGGATGGCGTGACCACAGAACGATAGAACCAGGAAGAGCAGAGGAACGAGACTTTCTTTTGGCTGTGTCTCCCTGTGTAAGCAGTAACCGATGACGAAGACACGAAGTTTCAGGTTAGCTCCTCGGCTTGTTGTGCTAACTCAGCCGTCTATGCTAACGGACCTGGAGATTTCTCACAAAAGTGGGGGCTAGTGGTCCGCTGTGATTGGTCACAATCTGCGACCCGAAACACATTCTCTTCCTTGTTTCATCAAAACTCGATCTAAAATATAATGTCACGCCAGCACAAATCTGCGCTAATTATTCTTCAAAAGGACGTTTATCCCAAAGCACTGCACGGACATGGATAGACTTTAGTAATGAATACAAAATAAAGTCAGTTTAGGCAGCTTTAACTGTGGAAGTAATTATGAAACCCCAAAAAGGCGGCTTTTGTATCATACTTTCTCTGTTATAACAATTGTTTTAAGAGTAATCATTAGTCTTAAAAATGTGATATTTCATGTAAATAATGTGTTTAGTGCGATTGATGGATTTGCTATGGCCCTCGTTTGTGCATCACTTTGTTGTAAAGTCATTTGTATTAAGTACAAATGTGATAATGTGCATTTACTGATGACAGGGGGACATCTGTGGACATGAAGCTGGACACAGAAGACGCCTGGACTTGAACAGACCAGATTTAAGGTCATGAGTACTTACTTTCTGAGCACAAGCTCCTCTTGAAATCCAACAGACCTGATCATGTCAGAGTTAATGGCTTAAATATATTTAAGATTAGAAGTATTACTTAAATAAAAGCTGAAACATGTTTCTCACGGATTGTGTGGTTGGATAAAACAAACACATCACTTTTCATTGCACACAAAGAAATAAATCATAATTATTTTATTTTATTCCAGGTTGTGATGAGTCCACCGTAGAAAAGACTGTGTCAGAGGCAGACGTCCAGGAACCTGCTGTTGTTACTGCTGCTGCTACTGCTGCTGCTGCTGCTGCTGCTGCTGCTACTGCTGCTGCTACTGCTGCTGCTGCTGCTACTGCTGCTGCTGCTGCTGCTACTGCTACTGCTGCTGCTACTGCTGCTGCTGCTACTGCTGCTGCTGCTGCTACTGCTGCTGCTGCTGCTGCTGCTGCTGCTGCTGCTGCTACTGCTGCTGCTGCTACTGCTGCTGCTGCTGCTGCTGCTGCTGCTACTGCTGCTGCTACTGCTGCTGCTGCTGCTACTGCTGCTGCTACTGCTGCTGCTGCTGTTACTGCTGCTGTTACTGCTGCTGCTGCTGCTGCTGTTACTGCTGCTACTGCTGCTACTGCTGCTGCTGTTACTGCTGCTACTGCTGCTACTGCTGCTGCTGTTACTGCTGCTGTTACTGCTGCTGCTGCTGCTGCTGCTGCTGCTGCTACTGCTGCTACTGCTGCTACTGCTGCTGCTGTTACTGCTGCTGTTACTGCTGCTGCTGCTACTGCACATGTCTTCAGAAAATGAGAGATGTGTTCTAACTATCCATGACTTGTAATTAATAAAACAAATGAACTTATTGGTGGTTGTAGTTTATATCGTAATCCACAGGAGCTGGAGGTGATGGATGAAGAAATGATGCCTCTGAAAGACAGCTGCCTCTGGGAAAGAAATGCACACAAAAAAATCATTAATTTAAACAGACCCGGTTCTTCTGGGATTAAAATGAGCCTTTTGTTACAATCAGACATGTGGACATATATGTTCATATACATGTACTGTTCCAGTCAAATGAATATAAATACACAGTAGTAGAACCAGACGCTCTGAGGAGGAGCAGAAGTACGATGCCTTTACAAACACACACATGAACTTAACAACAGTAAATGTAAATACATGTCCAGTCTTTAACAGGAGGCTGGTAGAGTGGGATTTACAAATATACTCTATTAAACCCATATCTATCAGTCTGAGTCCTCTCTGTAGCATTAATATTGAATCCATGGGTTTGTTTTCTCCCTAAAGAACCGATCCTTCATTCCATCTTGGTTTCACTAAGATGTCAAAATGTAAGAGTAAAGATAGAATAATTATCGTCTGCTCTGTCTCTAAAACAGCAGGTTTCGTCCTTGCTGCACTGCTAGAATAATATACACATTGAAATTGGGAACATAGTACATATGTCACACGAGAACCGCAGACCCCCGTGTACTTGGCTTTCCTGCGGTTCATTTTAGCTTAGCATTAGCGAAGATTAGCTTTGGGGAATCGCCAAAACATAGCAGCCACCTACACGGAGCTAGCTAATGATGAGCTAAGGTAAAAACATGTTCAGAAAGTACAAACAGTAGTGGTTTGTTACACACCAACTAATGATGAGAAAACACACTGGTTTGCTGTGGACGCCATGTTCAGATGAACAAGTGTCGTGTTCTGGCCCTGGCTACATCTGTGGAGGATTGGCTGATCGATTGCTTTGTTCTTGATTTATCCGGAAATAAAGCATGACATTTCAAGCAGCGAAAAAAAAATGCAACGAATTTTTTTACACTGAATTTTAAAACATTGAATTTATTTACACTGAATACTTTTTTGTTACAGTTTATAGAATTCAAAAGCAAAAAAAAGTGTTGATAATAAAAACACAAAATAACCTTCATACCTTTCTTCTACACCTGTTCTGAGGTGCGTCTGAGAGCAACCTGTTTTGGTGCTGTCTCTTTAAATGCAAATGAGGCACTTTTGACCACGCCCCCATCCAGGTGACACAGGTTCAACTCCACCCCGAGCGGCCATTTTCGTAGTTTCTAAGCACAGATACAATTATCTCATAGAAACTTCTCATTACATTGCAAACATGAAGCAGGTCTTCCTCATTGACTGAAAGCAAATGTTAAGTTTCATTCTTAGTCCAGTCTTATTATCGACTCTTCTCTTTTTAGCTTTGGGATCCATGCGCACAGTCTATGATGCTCACACGCCGGTTTGTTTACAACAGCGGCCGCCTGGCGCGGGCCTACGTCGCAGGATAAGACGCACTACGTTGACAGAAATGTTTAAATTGAATATTACTTATGCACAATTTTACAGCCAAAACGTTCTTAACGTTTTTCCTTCTACAGAAGGAAAGAGACGCATGCGCCTCCGGAGCCGCAGGTTGCAGACTCCTAGTTTATACAGTTTGTGGAAGCAAATACTGTAGAGGATCAGGATATGTGCAGTTTCAACAATAAAATAAAATGCAACAGTCTACATTAAAGAGAGTAATAAACATGTCTCAGAGTGAGGGAGGTGGACACAGACAACACTATTGTTTGTTACAGGGATGAGAATTGGTCAAAAAAGACTGAAATGCATAATATCAGCCATTGGCTGGCTCTAAATCTGTTTAATTTGTTCACAACATTTTACTTTTGGGCTCAAACATGAACTTTTAATGCAATGCAAAGTGTAGGTATCAGAGCTTTATTTAGCTTTATTGTACAACAGCGCCCCCTACAATTTAATTTTTTTATTGTTATACCAAAGAACACCAAACTAATACACTTTATGCCTGAAAAAAGCTTGTGGCAAAGTTTGGTGAGTTTTTGTGTTTGTTCAGTGGGTCAAATTTGAGATCAAACAACATAAAACCTAAATACCTGTTCGCTGGCATCCTTGAGCTTGGAATACAAATGAAGTGATGCACAGAAGAGGAGGGCTGGGCCGAAGTGTTTTGTTAGACGCCCATGCCCTTATATAGCAGTCTCGCTGCAAATACTGTGACGTAATAATTCTAAACACGTAATAGAGAATGGCAAAATCAGAACGGGTTGAAAAATCTTACCTAAAAAGAATATGAAGTGTTCTCTGCAACCCATGAAGAGACTGATTTCAACTTTTTTGCACTTCTAGAGGCTCCAACTACACAACATATGGCATTTAAGGCACAAAAAGTGGATTTTTCATGATATGTCCCCTTTAAAAGAATTAATCACATTCAATGTTTAGTAAACCAACTTAAAGATGGAACACAATGAAATTAATACAAACACAGTTTTACATTGAATCCAAGTCGTGTCGACTCAACTTAAAGACTCCTCTCGACATGTGTCTTATGAAAATCACATTGGTTACAGAACACACAGAAAAGAGCCACATCGGCAGACGTGACAGAGGCGAGGGGAACAGCCTCAGGTCAGCGCGTGGTCCTGTCTACCATCGTGAGGAGGTAAGTGAAACCATGTGAAGGGGAAGCGGCCCCACCAGGTCGACGCTAACGTGGTCAAACCTCCAGAACAACAAAAGGTTCTAATGAGGCCTTGGTATGGCGGTGCACCTTAGCGCGCTGACAGGCCACACAAGAATCAACCCAGGCCCGCACATTCTTCTTGAGTCCTCTCCAGAAGAACTTTTGAGATACAAGCCTCACAGATGCCTTTCTGCCAGGATGGGACAGGCCGTGTATAGTCTCAAAAACAGACCGCTGCCAGTTGGCGGGGACCAGAGGCCTGGGCTGGCCGGTAGAGAGGTCACACCACAACCTGACCCCAGAAACGCCGACCGCGACCTTTCCCAGCTGCAGTCCAGTGTCCGAGTCCTTGAGGGACTGAAGGGTGCGGCCTGGTCTGCACCCATACGCGCGTAGTCTAGTCCGAGCTGGACCGCACCAACGACCGCCCTGGAAAGACAATCCGCAACCACATTGGATTTGCCGGCAATGTGTCGTATGTCCGTGGTATACTCCGAGATGAACGCCAGCTGGCGCTGCTGGCGGGCGGACCACGGCTCGGCCACCTTAGACATGGAGAACGTAAGGGGCTTGTGGTCAACAAAAACCGTAAACTCACGGCCCTCCAGGACGAAGCGGAAGTGGCGGATTGCCAACCAAACAGCGAGTCAGCCTCAGTAGTGAGGGCAACCGGGGCCCCAGGTGACGGGTGGACACAACGCAACTTTTGTGTCCTCGAATGCCCGATCTGCCTCCGCGGTCCAGACAACGTCCTGGTTGGGGGTCGTACCCTTAAGGGCCTCGTAGAGCGGGCGCATTACGTGAGCCGCTTGTCGAATGAACCGATGGTAGAAGGTAACCATACCGAGGAACTCACGGAGCCCCCTGGCCGAGCGTGGGCGTGAAAAGTGGAAACGGCTTCCACCTTCGAAGGGAGGGGGGCAGCCCCTTCACTGGTGATGAGATGCCCGAGGAACTTTATGGACGGCACCCCAAAAACACACTTAGCCGGGTTAATGATCAGCCCGTGCTGGTTGAGCCGTGTAAAAAGAACTCGGAGATGTGTCTCCTCCTCCGAGGAGCTGGCGACGAGGCCATCGTCCAAGTAGACAAAGATGAAAGGCATGTCCCTGAGTGCCGAGTCCATTAGCCGCTGGAACGACTGGGCTGCGTTCTTCAGGCCAAAAGGCATTCTGAGGAACTCGAACAGCCCGAAAGGAGTCACCACTGCCGTCTTCGGGATGTCCGCAGGGTGCACCGGGACTTGGTGGTAACCCCGCACCAGATCCACTTTAGAGAACACGGACTTCCCCGCCAAATGTACGGAAAAGTCACCGGGTAACGATTGGGCGTGGTCGCATCATTAAGACGGCGGTAGTCACCACACGGACGCCACCCACCGTCTGGCTTCGGAACCATGTGGAGTGGTGAGGCCCACGGGCTGTCAGAACGGCGAATGATGCCAAGTCATTCCATGTTGGCGAATTCGGCCTTGGCAGTCGTCAGCCTCTCCGGATTGAGCCGCCGTGCCCTGGCGTGGATAGGAGGGCCTCTGCTTTCGATGTGGTGTTCGACTCCGTGTTTAGCCGTGGCAGCCGAGAAAGTGGGCCGCGTCAGGTCAGGGAACTCCATGAGGAGCCGCAGGTACTTGTCACCTTCAGCGAGCGAGCTGGAGAGACCATTGTATGTCCCCTCATCGCAGATACACACGCGAATGAGGAGAAGGTCAAAGCGTCCACCAGGCGGCCATTTTTGACATCCACGAGTAACCCCTGGGCGCACAGAAAATCCGCACCGAGGAGGGGAAACGAGACATCGGCCATGACAAAGTCCCATGTAAACCGCTGGTCCCCGAAACATACGTCCACAGTCTTTGTGCCATATGTCCGGATAGGGGTGTCAGTGGCGGACGTTAAGGGCGGGCCATGCAACCCCCCAGCAGCATCGTCCACTGCAGCCGGCAGAACGCTCCTCTGGGCGCCAGTGTCACAAAGGAACCTGCGCCCGGACAGGGTGTCCACAACAAACAGCAGCCGGCCCTTCGCACCTGCACTCAAGGCCACTACTGAGCGCAGGCCTTGGCGTTTCCCGTCGCGTTGAAACTGCATGGGGAGCGGCACCTCTTAGCTTTGGCCCCGAAACATGCATGGAAGTAGCACAACCCAGGGCTGGCCGGGCCGTCAGTCACAATGCGCCCCCTAACAGGCAGAGCGGCCGCACCAGGGGGGGTGTAGCTGCGTGTCGGGGCCAACACGTCAGGGACGAAACGATGGGTGGCCAGGAAGAACCGGTCCGCCTCCTCCGCCAGAGCACGTGGCTCCGTAATGGCTGTATTCGCGAGAGCCGTCTGCACGTGAGGTGGCATGTGTCGCAGAAACAGTTCCACAAAGGGGAAATTTGGCTCTTCACTGCCCGGCAGGTTTAACATCACCTCCATGTGTTCTGAGGGCTTGCTATCCCCCAGGCCCTGCATAGAAAGGAGGCGTCGGGCCCGTTCGGAACGTGACAGTTCAAAAATCTTCAGCAGATATGCCTTAATACCCGCATACTTCCCGTGGGCTGGAGGAGAAGCGAAGAAACTCACTGTCCCGGTCGCCGTGGAGCTCCCGGTCGCCGTGGAGCTCCCGAGCGCCGAGACGGTAATAGCGCGTGTCATCGTCAGTAATTCCACGGAGGGCGAACTGAGCCTCCGCCTGAGCAAACCACGTTTCGGCGGACGTCTCCCAAAACTCAGGCAGCTTGAGAGCGGCGGACTGCGCCACACTGCTTTGCTCTGTATCTGGATCAGTCCCAGAAACTTCTGTGGGACTGACGTCGGGGTCACAATGTGGTGCGTAAGGAGCGGAGTCGGAGGCGGTGACAAACGTACACGTTTTAATGCCATAAAACAGCCAGTGTTAACAAAACTCCTCACACAACCAAAAACATTTCTCTAGGTAAGAAACCTGTGCAACGGTCCAACTCGTCCCCCCGGAACCCCACCAGAGTAACCACAGTTCCATGGGTGAATTAACCCAAAGCTGTCTAAATTCTGAATATATTCCAATTCACTTTAATGAAAATCCAACAACTCTACTATCATTAATACAAGTGCACGGAAGTTTTCAGAATTTTATATTAACGTTTTCATGACAAAAACATTGATGTAATGCGAGAAAAGGCGATCCCGAAAAACCCGGAAGTAGATACGACACATTTTAGGAACATTTGCAGAGGATGGAATTATGGATTTAGGTTAAGTTTATGTTTGGGTCACTCACCGCTGATGTTCAGGATTCTGTGTTCAGTTTTCATGCAGTTCCAGAGAGTTCTAGTTTGGAAGTTGCCAGCCTAACTGTTGCTAGCATAGCCACGGGAAAGCCTTTGGGAACTATTTTATTTTCTGTCATTAAATAAACCTTCAGCATTCCTAAAAGTGGACTGAAGTTTATGTTGTGTGTTCTGTTGGTACAAAGCCGTATAATAAGTGGGATAACGTATATTACTCAGGTCATTATCGGAAAATAAGTACCGCCAGGGGTCCGCTTCGCCCTGAAGGTACTTATTTTTTGGGGAGACCAGAAAGAGACCAGAGAGAGACCAGAAAGAGACCAGAGAGAGACCAGAGAGAGACCAGAAAGAGACCAGAGAGAGACCAGAGAGAGACCAGAAAAAGACCAGAGAGACCAGAGAGACCAGAGAGAGACCAGAGAAAGACCAGAAAGAGACCAGAGAGAGACCAGAGAGAGACCAGAGAGAAACCAGAGAGAGACCAGAGACCAGCGAGAGAGACTAAAGAGAGACCAGAGAGAGACCAGAGAGAAACCAGAGAGAGACCAGAGACCAGCGAGAGAGACTAAAGAGAGACCAGAGAAAGACCAGAGAGAGACCAGAGAGAGACCAGAGAGAGACCAGAGAGAGACCAGAGAGACCAGAGAGAGACCAGAGAGAGACCAGAGAGAAACCAGAGAGAGACCAGAGACCAGCGAGAGAGACTAAAGAGAGACCAGAGAGAGACCAGAGAGAAACCAGAGAGAGACCAGAGACCAGCGAGAGAGACTAAAGAGAGACCAGAGAGAGACCAGAGAGAGACCATCTGCTGCAAGACAAATCCTTTAACCAGATCGGAATTGGGATCAGAACCATGTGACAAGCTGCAACCAATCACACGTTTGGAGGAGGCTCTGAGGCTGGACTCATTAAGTTTATTTTCCATTTGCAGTAAAACCCCATTGGAATAAATGTGCAACAGTCCACAATGTCACAAACACAGAAACAATCGTCAAAAACAGTTGAGAGGAGCTGTTAGCATGTTAGCATGTTAGCATGTCCTGTAGCCAACCATATCTTCTGCCAGGGGAAGAAGCTGGAACTTGGCTTTTCCAACTGGATGGAGTCGATATAAAAAGTCCATAAATTCCGACACATCAGCCTCGGGGCGACTGCGGCTCAGGGTCATGTGGTCGTGGGTTCGATCCCCCCAAGACATTCTCCCTCTGCTCCCACTGAAGTCTGCTGTGGTTTGTTTCCCTGGGCAAGACACTTCACCCCACTTTGCCTGAAACCCCTGCTGAAAGACCTAGATCATGGAGAGACCAGAGAGAGACCAGAGAGAGACCAGAGAGAGTCCAGAGAGAGACCAGAGAGAGACCAGAGAGAGACCAGAGAGAGACCAGAGAGAGACCAAAGAGAGTCTAGAGAGAGACCAGAGAGAGACCAGAGAGAGACCAGAGAGAGACCAGAGAGAGACCAGAGAGAGACCAAAGAGAGTCTAGAGAGAGACCAGAGAGAGACCAGAGAGAGACCAAAGAGAGTCTAGAGAGAGACCAGAGAGAGACCAGAGAGAGACCAGAGAGAGAGACCAGAGAGAGAGAGACCAGAGAGAGACCAAAGAGAGTCCAGAGAGAGACCAAAGAGTCCAGAGAGAGACCAGAGAGAGAGACCAGAGAGAGAGACCAGAGAGAGACCAGAGAGAGAGAGACCAGAGAGAGAGACCAGAGAGAGACCAGAGAGAGACCAGAGAGAGACCAAAGAGAGTCTAGAGAGAGACCAGAGAGAGACCAGAGAGAGACCAGAGAGAGACCAGAGAGAGACCAGAGAGAGACCAAAGAGAGTCTAGAGAGAGACCAGAGAGAGACCAGAGAGAGACCAGAGAGAGACCAAAGAGAGTCTAGAGAGAGACCAGAGAGAGACCAGAGAGAGACCAGAGAGAGAGACCAGAGAGAGACCAAAGAGAGTCCAGAGAGAGACCAAAGAGTCCAGAGAGAGACCAGAGAGAGAGACCAGAGAGAGAGACCAGAGAGAGAGACCAGAGAGAGACCAGAGAGAGAGACCAGAGAGAGAGACCAGAGAGAGACCAGAGAGAGACCAGAGAGAGACCAGAGAGAGACCAGAGAGAAGTCCCGGCTGAAAGACCAAGGCTGTGTCATGGATTCATAAAGGGGATGTTAAAGTTAATTTAAAACGCAGGGATCAAAGACCCAGAACGAAGTAGCGGATTGTGGTCCGGACCTCATGGACCTCATGGACCTCATGGACCTCATGGACCTCATGGACCTCATGGACTTCATGGACCTCATGAACCTCATGGACCTCATGGACCTCATGAACCTCATGGACCTCATGGACTTCATGGACCTCATGGACTTCATGGACCTCATGGACTCAGTCTCAGCCCAGGAACGGCTGAAAACATACAAACTCATGAGGAAAAGTCACAACGTTAAAACACACACACTTCACTAATACGTACAGCTTTGTCCTCCATCTTCTCATGTGACCTGTCATGTGACTTGTCATGTGACCTGTCATGTGACTTGTCATGTGACTTGTCATGTGACCTGTCATGTGACTTGTCATGTGACCTGTCATGTGACTTGTGTTTGCGTGGTCTGGAGGGTCCGGCCTCGTCGCTGGGACACGGTAAACTCATGGCGTCCAAAGGAACCACGATGGACTTGTTCTTCACCAGAGTCGACAGAACTGCACCAAGAAAACCATCAACACTCCGACGCAAACATATTTGGTCCCTCTCTGGTCTCTCTCTGGTTCCTCTCTGGTCTCTCTCTGGTCTCTCTCTCTGGTTCCTCTCTGGTCCCTCTCTGGTCCCTCTCTGGTCTCTCTCTGGTCTCTCTCTCTCTCTGGTCCCTCTCTGGTCTCTCTCTGGTCCCTCTCTGGTCTCTCTCTCTGGTCTCACTCTGGTCTCTCTGGTCTCTCTGGTCCCTCTCTGGTCCCTCTCAGGTCTCTCTCTGGTCTCTCTCTGGTCTCTCTGGTCTCTCTCTGGTCTCTCTGGTCTCTCTCTGGTCTCTCTGGTCTCTCTGGTCTCTCTGGTCTCTCTGGTCTCTCTGGTACCTTCTCTTGTCAGGTTCTCTGCTGCACTCATGGCCTTCCCGCTCAGGTCGTTGACCATGTGATCCACGGTGGCTTCGTGTTTCAGGAAGACGGGTCTCACCAGACGACTGTAGATGATCTGAGAACCATTCCAGGACACGGGAGCCATGCACCAGAGCAGGAAGAGGCACTGAGAGACCACAACGAGACTGAGTACACCCCACAGACACAATCATCACAGATTATTCTCTCTGGTCCCTCTCTGGTCTCACTCTGGTCTCTCTGGTCTCTCTTGTCTCTCTCTGGTCTCTCTGGTCTCTCTGGTCCCTCTCTGGTCTCTCTCTCTGGTCTCTCTCTGGTCTCTCTGGTCCCTCTCTGGTCTCTCTCTGGTCTCTCTGGTCTCTCTCTGGTCTCACTCTGGTCTCTCTGGTCTCTCTCTTGTCTCTCTCTGGTCTCTATGGTCTCTCTGGTCCCTCTCTGGTCTCTCTCTCTGGTCTCTCTCTGGTCTCTCTGGTCTCTCTCTTGTCTCTCTCTCTCTCTCTGGTCTCTCTCTGGTCTCTCTGGTCCCTCTCTGGTCTCTCTCTCTGGTCTCTCTCTTGTCTCTCTCTGGTCTCTCTCTGGTGTCTCTCTGGTCTCTCTCTGGTCTCTCTCTGGTCTCACTCTGGTCTCTCTCTGGTCTCTCTGGTCTCTCTGGTCTCTCTCTGGTGTCTCTCTGGTGTCTCTCTGGTCTCTCTGGTCTCTCTGGTCTCTCTCTGGTGTCTCTCTGGTGTCTCTCTGGTCTCTCTCTGGTCTCTCTGGTCTCACTCTGGTCTCTCTGACCTTAAAAGCGTAGTAGAATGGAAACCAATAAAGGAAAATGTCTGAGAAGAATTCTCCGAGGCTGAAGACTCCGTACACGACCCAGTACGTCAGCCATTTTGTGTCGTCCTCTTTGTTCTCGCTCTCGATGGCTTTGATCCTGAGACACAGGAGACGAGAACGTTATTACTCTGAGAGTTCCTGAGACCCTCTGAGACCTCCTGAGACCTCCTGAGGCCCTCTGAGACCCTCTGGGACCCTCTGGGACCCTCTGGGACCCTCTGGGACCCTCTGAGACCTCCTGAGACCCTCTGGACCCTCTGAGACCCTCTGGACCCTCTGAGACCTCCTGAGACCCTCTGGACCCTCTGAGACCTCCTGAGACCCTCTGAGACCTCCTGAGACCCTCTGGACCCTCTGAGACTTCCTGAGACCCTCTGAGACCCTCTGAGACCCCCTGAGACCCTCTGGACCCTCTGGACCCTCTGAGACCTCCTGAGACCCTCTGGACCATCTGAGACCTCCTGAGACCCTCTGAGACCTCCTGAGACCCTCTGAGACCCTCTGAGACCCTCTAAGACCCTCTGGACCCTCTGAGACCTCCTGAGATCTCCTGAGACCCTCTGGACCCTCTGAGAACTCCTGAGACCCTCTGGACCCTCTGAGACCTCCTGAGACCCTCTGGACCCTCTGAGACTTCCTGAGACCTCCTGAGACCCTCTGAGACCTCCTGAGACCCTCTGGACCCTCTGAGACTTCCTGAGACCCTCTGAGACCTCCTGAGACCCTCTGGATCCTCTGAGACTTCCTGAGACCTCCTGAGACCCTCTGAGACCTCCTGAGACCCTCTGGACCCTCTGAGACTTCCTGAGACCCTCTGAGACCTCCTGAGACCCTCTGGACCCTCTGAGACTTCCTGAGACCTCCTGAGACCCTCTGAGACCTCCTGAGACCCTCTGAGACTTCCTGAGACCCTCTGAGACCTCCTGAGACCCTCTGGACCCTCTGGACCCTCTGAGACCTCCTGAGACCCTCTGGACCCTCTGAGACTTCCTGAGACCTCCTGAGACCCTCTGAGACCTCCTGAGACCCTCTGGACCCTCTGAGACTTCCTGAGACCCTCTGAGACCTCCTGAGACCCTCTGGATCCTCTGAGACTTCCTGAGACCTCCTGAGACCCTCTGAGACCTCCTGAGACCCTCTGGACCCTCTGAGACTTCCTGAGACCCTCTGAGACCTCCTGAGACCCTCTGGACCCTCTGAGACTTCCTGAGACCTCCTGAGACCCTCTGAGACCTCCTGAGACCCTCTGAGACTTCCTGAGACCCTCTGAGACCTCCTGAGACCCTCTGGACCCTCTGAGACCTCCTGAGACCTCCTGAGACCCTCTGAGACTTCCTGAGACCTCCTGAGACCCTCTGAGACCCTCTGAGACCCTCTGAGACCCTCTGGACCCTCTGGACCCTCTGGACCCTCTGAGACCTCCTGAGACCTCCTGAGACCCTCTGGACCCTCTGAGACCTCCTGAGACCCTCTGAGACCCTCTGAGACCCTCTGAGACCCTCTGAGACCTCCTGAGACCCTCTGAGTTTATGCATTGTGGGCGGGGCTAACGAGTAGTAGGCGGGGTTTATAGTGGGTGGGGTTTATGAGTAGTGGGTGGGGTTTATAGTGGGTGGGGTTTATGAGTAGTGGGTGGGGTTTATAGTGGGTGGGGTTTATGAGTAGTAGGCATGCTTTCTTCTGCCAAAACAATTTCCAAGTGGTGACTTCTGTTACTTATGTGGCAACAAAAATGATTCAGATTATGAGTAGTGGGCGGGTCTTTCGAGTAGTAGGCGGGGTTTATGAGTAGTGGGCGGGTCTTTCGAGTAGTAGGCGGGGTTTATGAGTAGTGGGCGGAGCTTACGAGTAGTAGGCGGGGTACACGAAGCCGATCATGTTGCAGAGCAGAGAGGCGCCGTAGCCGTAGACCAGGTACAGTCCAGTGATGGACACGGCTCCTGCAGAACGGACATGTTTGATGGACGGACGGGGGACGTTTTATTGTGTAACACAAGTACTTTACCAAACAACAAAGAAGACGTAACTGAGATTTCAAACGAACGGAATAAAAGTGAATCACAGGTGTCAGAAATAAGGTCTAAAGCAGGACTAAAGCAGGTCTATAGGAGGTCTAAAGCAGGTCTAAAGCAGGTCTAAAGCATGACTAAAGCAGGTCTAAAGCAGGACTAAAGCAGGTCTAAATCAGGACTAAAGCAGGTCTAAAGCAGTTCTAAAAGAGGTCTAAAGCAGGACTAAAGCAGGTCTAAAGCAGGTCTAAAGCAGGTCTAAAGCAGGTCTAAAGCAGGTCTAAAGCAGGTCTAAAGCAGGTCTAAAGCAGGACTAAAGCAGGTCTAAAGCAGTTCTAAAAGAGGTCTAAAGCAGGACTAAATCAGGTCTAAAGCAGGACTAAAGCAGGTCTAAAGCAGGTCTAAAGCAGGTCTAAAGCAGGACTAAAGCAGGTCTATAGGAGGTCTAAAGCAGGTCTAAAGCAGGTCTAAAGCAGGTCTAAAGCAGGTCTAAAGCAGGTCTAAAGCAGGTCTAAAGCAGGTCTAAAGCAGGTCTAAATCAGGTCTAAAGCAGGTCTAAAGCAGGTCTAAAGCAGGACTAAAGCAGGACTAAAGCAGGACTAAAGCAGGTCTAAAGCAGGTCTAAACCAGGACTAACGCAGGTCTAAAGCAGGACTAAAGCAGGTCTAAACCAGGACTAACGCAGGTCTAAAGCAGGACTAAACCAGGACTAACGCAGGACTAATGCAGGTCTAAACCAGGACTAAACAGGACTAAACAGGACTAACGCAGGACTAAACAGGACTAAACAGGACTAACCCACTGCGATGATCTTCTTCTTGATCCCAGTCTTTTCTTCCAGTTTTCCGAGGAAATCCGTGACCACATTTTTCTCGTTGAGGAACTTGTCGGCTCTGTCCCGGACGGAGCAGAGGAGGTCCATCAGTCCCATGGTTCTCTGTCAGGTCCTCAGACGAGCCCACCTGTCTGCTCTGAAGGCAGATCGGGGCTAATCTGGATTAGATTATCCCCCGTGTGAAGGGGAGGGGCCTGAGGCGGATTGGGGACATAAGCCACGCCCCTTAGAGGTCCAGGGTTCGAATCCCGATCAGAGCAGGACCTTTCAGTTCAACTGCTCAGAGTCCTCAGATTAAAGCAGGACTAAAGCAGGACTAAAACAGGTCTAAAGCAGGTCTAAAACAGCTCTAAAGCAGGTCTAGAGCAGGTCTAAAGCAGGTCTAAAACAGAACTAAAGCAGGTCTAAAGCAGGTCTAAAGCAGGACTAAAGCAGGTCTAACAGGTCTAAAGCAGGTCTAAATTAGGAGACCAAATTGGGGACAGTTAAAATGGGACATAACTAGATGATGGTTAAATATTACTGGTATTTTCTTTTTTCAGTCTCAGAGTGTGTGACATCACTTATCAGCCTCTTTTTGTTATAATATAATGAAAAATATATAACGCAAAGAGTCTGGGTGTCATCCTCGACACCGCTCACATCAACAGCATCACCCGCATCGCTACGGCCATCTCAGACACATCCACTGACTCCGCCCCCTCTCTCTCCTCTCTCCACTGCCATACTCCTGACTCCGCCCCCTCTCTCTCCTCTCTCCACTGCCATACTCTTGACTCCGCCCTCTCTCTCCTCTCTCCACTGCCATACTCCTGACTCCGCCCCCTCTCTCTCCTCTCTCCACTGCCATACTCCTGACTCCGCCCCCTCTCTCTCCTCTCTCCACTGCCATACTCCTGACTCCGCCCCCTCTCTCTCCTCTCTCCACTGCCATACTCCTGACTCCACCCCCTCTCTCTCCTCTCTCCACTGCCATACTCCTGACTCCGCCCCTCTCTCCACTGCCATACTCTTGACTCCGCCCCCTCTCTCCTCTCTCCACTGCCATACTCTTGACTCCGCCCTCTCTCCCCTCACTCCACTGCCATACTCCTGACTCCGCCCTCTCTCTCCTCTCTCCACTGCCATACTCTTGACTCTGCCCCTCTCTCCTCTCTCCACTGCCATACTCTTGACTCCGCCCTCTCTCCCCTCACTCCACTGCCATACTCCTGACTCCACCCCTCTCTCCTCTCTCCACTGCCATACTTCTGACTCCGCCCCCTCACTCCACTGCCATACTCCTGACTCCGCCCCTCTCTCCTCTCTCCACTGCCATACTCCTGACTCCGCCCTCTCTCTCCTCTCTCCACTGCCATACTCCTGACTCCGCCCTCTCTCTCCTCTCTCCACTGCCATACTTCTGACTCCGCCCCCTCACTCCACTGCCATACTCCTGACTCCGCCCCTCTCTCCTCTCTCCACTGCCATACTCCTGACTCCGCCCTCTCTCTCCTCACTCCACTGCCATACTCCTGACTCCGCCCCTCTCTCCTCTCTCCACTGCCATACTCCTGACTCCGCCCCTCTCTCCTCTCTCCACTGCCATACTTCTGACTCCGCCCCCTCACTCCACTGCCATACTCCTGACTCCGCCCCTCTCTCCTCTCTCCACTGCCATACTCCTGACTCCGCCCCTCTCTCCTCTCTCCACTGCCATACTCCTGACTCCGCCCCTCTCTCCTCTCTCCACTGCCATACTTCTGACTCCGCCCCCTTACTCCACTGCCATACTCCTGACTCCGCGCCTCTCTCCTCTCTCCACTGCCATACTCCTGACTCCGCCCACTCTCTCCTCACTCCACTGCCATACTTCTGACTCCGCCCCTCTCTCCTCACTCCACTGCCATACTTCTGACTCCGCCCCCTCACTCCACTGCCATACTCCTGACTCCGCCCTCTCTCTCCTCACTCCACTGCCATACTCCTGACTCCGCCCCCTCTCTCTCCTCACTCCACTGCCATACTCCTGACTCCGCCCCCTCTCTCTCCTCACTCCACTGCCATACTCCTGACTCCGCCCCCTCTCTCCACTGTCATGTGTCATGAGGCTTTCACTTTGTTTAAAATGTATTATTATCATTATTATTATTATTATTATTATTATTATTATTATTATTATCATTATCATTATCATTATCATTATTATTATTATTATTATTATTTTACACAGAGAGAGAAGAGGAATGTGGAGCAGGTTCTGGCACGTTTTACTTCACAAGCGAGAGCAGCGGAACAGACCTGGTTCAGACCTGGTTCAGTCCTGGTTCAGACCTGGTTCAGTCCTGGTTCAGTCCTGGTTCAGTCCTGGTTCAGTCCTGGTTTAGACCTCGTTCAGACCTGGTTCAGTCCTGGTTCAGTCCTGGTTTAGACCTGGTTCAGAACTGGGATGGTCCGGTCTCAGAGATGAGAGGATACCGAGGAGTCAAGTACACATTGTTTTTCTGCTGTTATGTTTTCTGGGTGAGTCTGACTTGGATCCAGAGAAGACCTGGGTCCGTCCTGCTTTAGTCCTGCTTTAGACCTGCTTTAGTCCTGCTTTAGTCCTGCTTTAGTCCTGGTTTAGTCCTGCTTTAGTCCTGGTTTAGTCCTGGTTTAGTCCTGCTTTAGTCCTGCTTTAGTCCTGCTTTAGTCCTGGTTTAGTCCTGCTTTAGTCCTGGTTTAGTCCTGGTTTAGTCCTGCTTTAGTCCTGGTTTAGTCCTGGTTTAGTCCTGGTTTAGTCCTGCTTTAGTCCTGGTTTAGTCCTGCTTTAGTCCTGGTTTAGTCCTGGTTTAGTCCTGCTTTAGTCCTGGTTTAGTCCTGGTTTAGTCCTGGTTTAGTCCTGCTTTAGTCCTGCTTTAGTCCTGCTTTAGTCCTGCTTTAGTCCTGCTTTAGTCCTGCTTTAGTCCTGCTTAAGTCCTGCTTTAGTCCTGCTTTAGTCCTGGTTTAGTCCTGCTTTAGTCCTGCTTTAGTCCTGGTTTAGTCCTGCTTTAGTCCTGCTTTAGTCCTGCTTAAGTCCTGCTTTAGTCCTGGTTCAGGATGTCGTGAAATGACACTGGATCATGATTTTTAAAATATGCATAGTTTTGACTAAACCAGGTTTAAACCAGGTGTGACCCAGAACTCAGGTCTACACCAGGACTCGGGTCTACACCAGGACTCAGGTCTACACCAGGACTCGGGTCTACACCAGGACTCAGGTCTACACCAGGACTCGGGTCTACACCAGGACTCGGGTCTGGCCAAGGACTCGGGTCTGACCCAGGTCTGTGTCCCTGCAGGTGGTCAGTGCTCTGCTCATCGCTGTCGGAGTTTACGCCAAAGTCGCCAAAGAAAAAGGTTTGAGCAGAAATGTATTTATAATATTATTATCATTACAGTTACTACAGATGTGTGCTCTCTCTCTGTGCAGATGTGTGCTCTCTCTCTCTCTCTGTGCAGATGTGTGCTCTCTCTCTGTGCAGATGTGTGCTCTCTCTCTGTGCAGATGTGTGCTCTCTCTCTGTGCAGATGTGTGCTCTCTCTCTGTGCAGATGTGTGCTCTCTCTCTGTACAGATGTGTGCTCTCTCTCTGTGCAGATGTGTGCTCTCTCTCTGTACAGATGTGTGCTCTCTCTCTGTGCAGATGTGTGCTCTCTCTCTGTACAGATGTGTGCTCTCTCTCTGTGCAGATGTGTGCTCTCTCTGTACAGATGTGTGCTCTCTCTCTGTACAGATGTGTGCTCTCTCTACAGATGTGTGCTCTCTCTCTCTGTACAGATGTGTGCTCTCTCTCTGTACAGATGTGTGCTCTCTCTCTGTGCAGATGTGTGCTCTCTCTCTGTACAGATGTGTGCTCTCTCTCTGTACAGATGTGTGCTCTCTCTCTGTACAGATGTGTGCTCTCTCTCTGTGCAGATGTGTGCTCTCTCTCTGTACAGATGTGTGCTCTCTCTCTGTACAGATGTGTGCTCTCTCTACAGATGTGTGCTCTCTCTCTCTGTACAGATGTGTGCTCTCTCTCTGTGCAGATGTGTGCTCTCTCTCTGTACAGATGTGTGCTCTCTCTCTGTGCAGATATGTGCTCTCTCTCTGTGCAGATGTGTGCTCTCTCTCTGTGCAGATGTGTGCTCTCTCTCTGTACAGATGTGTGCTCTCTCTCTGTACAGATGTGTGCTCTCTCTCTGTACAGATGTGTGCTCTCTCTCTGTGCAGATGTGTGCTCTCTCTCTGTGCAGATGTGTGCTCTCTCTCTGTGCAGATGTGTGCTCTCTCTCTGTACAGATGTGTGCTCTCTCTCTGTACAGATGTGTGCTCTCTCTACAGATGTGTGCTCTCTCTCTCTGTGCAGATGTGTGCTCTCTCTCTGTACAGATGTGTGCTCTCTCTCTGTACAGATGTGTGCTCTCTCTCTGTACAGATGTGTGCTCTCTCTCTGTGCAGATGTGTGCTCTCTCTCTGTACAGATGTGTGCTCTCTCTCTGTACAGATGTGTGCTCTCTCTACAGATGTGTGCTCTCTCTCTCTGTACAGATGTGTGCTCTCTCTGTACAGATGTGTGCTCTCTCTCTGTGCAGATGTGTGCTCTCTCTCTGTACAGATGTGTGCTCTCTCTCTGTGCAGATATGTGCTCTCTCTCTGTGCAGATGTGTGCTCTCTCTCTGTGCAGATGTGTGCTCTCTCTCTGTACAGATGTGTGCTCTCTCTCTGTACAGATGTGTGCTCTCTCTCTGTACAGATGTGTGCTCTCTCTCTGTGCAGATGTGTGCTCTCTCTCTGTGCAGATGTGTGCTCTCTCTCTGTGCAGATGTGTGCTCTCTCTCTGTACAGATGTGTGCTCTCTCTACAGATGTGTGCTCTCTCTCTCTGTACAGATGTGTGCTCTCTCTCTGTGCAGATGTGTGCTCTCTCTCTGTACAGATGTGTGCTCTCTCTCTGTGCAGATGTGTGCTCTCTCTCTGTGCAGATGTGTGCTCTCTCTCTGTGCAGATGTGTGCTCTCTCTCTGTACAGATGTGTGCTCTCTCTGTACAGATGTGTGCTCTCTCTCTGTACAGATGCGTGCTCTCTCTGTACAGATGTGTGCTCTCTCTCTGTACAGATGTGTGCTCTCTCTCTGTGCAGATGTGTGCTCTCTCTCTGTGCAGATGTGTGCTCTCTCTCTGTGCAGATGTGTGCTCTCTCTCTGTGCAGATGTGTGCTCTCTCTCTGTACAGATGTGTGCTCTCTCTGTACAGATGTGTGCTCTCTCTCTGTACAGATGTGTGCTCTCTCTCTGTGCAGATGTGTGCTCTCTCTCTGTGCAGATGTGTGCTCTCTCTCTGTGCAGATGTGTGCTCTCTCTCTCTCTCTCTCTGTGCAGATGTGTGCTCTCTCTCTGTGCAGATGTGTGCTCTCTCTCTGTGCAGATGTGTGCTCTCTCTCTGTGCAGATGTGTGCTCTCTCTCTGTGCAGATGTGTGCTCTCTCTCTGTACAGATGTGTGCTCTCTCTCTGTGCAGATGTGTGCTCTCTCTCTGTACAGATGTGTGCTCTCTCTGTACAGATGTGTGCTCTCTCTGTACAGATGTGTGCTCTCTCTCTGTACAGATGTGTGCTCTCTCTCTGTGCAGATGTGTGCTCTCTCTCTGTACAGATGTGTGCTCTCTCTCTCTGTACAGATGTGTGCTCTCTCTCTGTACAGATGTGTGCTCTCTCTCTGTACAGATGTGTGCTCTCTCTCTGTACAGATGTGTGCTCTCTCTGTACAGATGTGTGCTCTCTCTCTGTACAGATGTGTGCTCTCTCTCTGTGCAGATGTGTGCTCTCTCTCTGTGCAGATGTGTGCTCTCTCTCTGTACAGATGTGTGCTCTCTCTCTGTGCAGATGTGTGCTCTCTCTCTGTGCAGATGTGTGCTCTCTCTCTGTACAGATGTGTGCTCTCTCTCTGTACAGATGTGTGCTCTCTCTGTACAGATGTGTGCTCTCTCTGTACCATGTGTGCTCTCTCTGTACCATGTGTGCTCTCTCTACAGATGTGTGCTCTCTCTGTACCATGTGTGCTCTCTCTACAGATGTGTACTCTCTCTACAGATGTGTGCTCTCTCTGTACAGATGTGTGCTCTCTCTGTACAGATGTGTGCTCTCTCTGTACAGATGTGTGCTCTCTTTGTACAGATGTGTGCTCTCTCTACAGATGTGTGCTCTCTCTCTGTACAGATGTGTGCTCTCTCTCTGTACAGATGTGTGCTCTCTCTCTGTACAGATGTGTGCTCTCTCTGTACAGATGTGTGCTCTCTCTCTGTACAGATGTGTGCTCTCTCTCTGTGCAGATGTGTGCTCTCTCTCTGTGCAGATGTGTGCTCTCTCTCTGTACAGATGTGTGCTCTCTCTCTGTGCAGATGTGTGCTCTCTCTCTGTGCAGATGTGTGCTCTCTCTCTGTACAGATGTGTGCTCTCTCTCTGTACAGATGTGTGCTCTCTCTCTGTACAGATGTGTGCTCTCTCTGTACCATGTGTGCTCTCTCTGTACCATGTGTGCTCTCTCTACAGATGTGTGCTCTCTCTGTACCATGTGTGCTCTCTCTACAGATGTGTGCTCTCTCTACAGATGTGTGCTCTCTCTGTACAGATATGTGCTCTCTCTCTGTACAGATGTGTGCTCTCTCTGTACAGATGTGTGCTCTCTTTGTACAGATGTGGTGGACACTCTGACCTTGGACCCTGCTCTGCTGCTGATCGTTGTGGGGTCCCTGACGTTCCTCATCACCTTCCTCGGCTGCTGGGGGGCTCTCCGCAACGCCCCCTGTCTCCTCAAGACGGTACTGCAGGACATGTGTATTATCACCTCCTGGTGGTGGACCGTGGTACTGCAGCACATGTGTATTATCTCCTCCTGGTGGTGGACCGTGGTACTGCAGCACATGTGTATTATCTCCTCCTGGTGGTGGACCGTGGTACTGCAGCACATGTGTATTATCTCCTCCTGGTGGTGGACCGTGGTACTGCAGCACATGTGTATTATCTCCTCCTGGTGGTGGACCGTGGTACTGCAGCACATGTGTATTATCTCCCTCTGGTGGTGGACCGTGGTACTACAGCACATGTGTATTATCTCCCTCTGGTGGTGGACCGTGGTACTACAGCACATGTGTATTATCTCCTCCTGGTGGTGGACCGTGGTACTGCAGCACATGTGTATTATCTCCTCCTGGTGGTGGACCGTGGTACTGCAGCACATGTGTATTATCTCCCTCTGGTGGTGGACCGTGGTACTACAGCACATGTGTATTATCTCCCTCTGGTGGTGGACCGTGGTACTACAGCACATGTGTATTATCTCCCTCTGGTGGTGGACCGTGGTACTACAGCACATGTGTATTATCTCCTCCTGGTGGTGGACCGTGGTACTGCAGCACATGTGTATTATCTCCCTCTGGTGGTGGACCGTGGTACTACAGCACATGTGTATTATCTCCTCCTGGTGGTGGACCGTGGTACTGCAGCACATGTGTATTATCTCCTCCTGGTGGTGGACCGTGGTACTGCAGCACATGTGTATTATCTCCTCTTGGTGGTGGACCGTGGTACTGCAGCACATGTGTATTATCTCCTCCTGGTGGTGGACCGTGGTACTGCAGCACATGTGTATTATCTCCTCCTGGTGGTGGACCGTGGTACTGCAGCACATGTGTATTATCTCCTCCTGGTGGTGGACCGTGGTACTGCAGCACATGTGTATTATCTCCTCCTGGTGGTGTACCGTGGTACTGCAGCACATGTGTATTATCTCCTCCTGGTGGTGGACCGTGGTACTGCAGCACATGTGTATTATCTCCTCCTGGTGGTGGACCGTGGTACTGCAGCACATGTGTATTATCTCCTTCTGGTGGTGGACCGTGGTACTGCAGCACATGTGTATTATCTCCTCCTGGTGGTGGACCGTGGTACTGCAGCACATGTGTATTATCTCCTCCTGGTGGTGGACCGTGGTACTGCAGCACATGTGTATTATCTCCTCCTGGTGGTGGACCGTGGTACTGCAGCACATGTGTATTATCTCCTCCTGGTGGTGGACCGTGGTACTGCAGCACATGTGTATTATCTCCTCCTGGTGGTGGACCGTGGTACTGCAGCACATGTGTATTATCTCCTCCTGGTGGTGGACCGTGGTACTGCAGCACATGTGTATTATCTCCTCCTGTGTGGTGGACCGTGGTACTGCAGCACATGTGTATTATCTCCCTCTGGTGGTGGACCGTGGTACTACAGCACATGTGTATTATCTCCCTCTGGTGGTGGACCGTGGTACTACAGCACATGTGTATTATCTCCCTCTGGTGGTGGACCGTGGTACTACAGCACATGTGTATTATCTCCTCCTGGTGGTGGACCGTGGTACTGCAGCCTCGGTCCTCAGAGGGAGCTGAGCCTGTTCCTCTGTCTGCAGTTCCTGTCCGTCCTGGTGGTGGTGCTGTTGCTGCAAGTCACAGCAGGAGTCATCGCATTCCTCTTCACTGATGTGGTGAAGACCCATACCAGACTGAGACCAGACCGAGACCAGACTGGACTTAGACCAGACCCAGACCGCACCAAGAACAGACAACTGTGTGTGTGTGTGTGTGTCTGTGTGTGCATGTGTGTGTGTGTGTCTGTGTGTGCATGTGTGTGTGTGTGTCTGTGTGTGCATGTGTGTGTGTGTGTGTGTCTGTGTGTGTGTGTGTGTGTGTAGGTGATGGAGAGGACAGAGCTGCTGATGCTTAAAGCTGTGGTCAGATACAGAGAAGACCAGGACCTGGAGAACGCCATCGACTTTGTCCAGAAAAAGGTCTGAAACAAACATTTATTAATTGTGCCTCTGCTCTGGGAGGTCTGGGCCTGGACCTGGACCAGGACCTGGGGGAGTTCTGGGCCTGGACCTGGACCTGGGGGAGTTCTGGACCTGGGGGAAGTCTGGAGCCTCCTCCGGGGTCTCCTGTTCCCAGTGCAGACAGCTGCTTCTCCTGCTGACTTCAATGATACATAACCCTATGTTTGTGTATGTGTGTGTGTGTATGTTTGTGTGCGTGTGTCTGTATGTGTGTGTGTGTGTGTGTGTGTGTGTGTCTGTGTCTGTGTGTGTGTCTGTATGTGTGTGTGTCTGTGTATGTGTGTCTGTGTGTGTGTGTGTGTGTGTGTCCAGTTCCAGTGCTGTGGAGTGGAGAGTTACAAAGACTGGTCCAAAAACATGTATTTCGAGTGTTCAGACTCAAACCCGAGTCTTGAGGCCTGTGGGGTCCCCTTCTCCTGCTGCCGCCCTGATGACCAGCAGGTAACTCCCCCCTCCTGCTGATGACCAGCAGGTAACTCCCCCCTCCTGCTGATGACCAGCAGGTAACTCCCACCTCCTGCTGATGACCAGCAGGTAACTCCCACCTCCTGCTGATGACCAGCAGGTAACTCCCACCTCCTGCTGATGACCAGCAGGTAACTCCCACCTCCTGCTGATGACCAGCAGGTAACTCCCACCTCCTGCTGATGACCAGCAGGTAACTCCCACCTCCTAATGATGACCAGCAGGTAACTCCCACCTCCTAATGATGACCAGCAGGTAACTCCCACCTCCTGCTGATGACCAGCAGGTAACTCCCACCTCCTGCTGATGACCAGCAGGTAACTCCCACCTCCTAATGATGACCAGCAGGTAACTCCCACCTCCTGCTGATGACCAGCAGGTAACTCCCACCTCCTAATGATGACCAGCAGGTAACTCAATGCACCCCAATAGGGAAGTGCTCATGAATGAAGTTTGGCCCCTCTCTCTGGCTCCTACTGACTTCCATGTTAAAGTAACGTGTGACATCACATTTTGGGCTTAAATCTGTGGTTTCTCTGTGTCTTGTGTTTATCTGTGATGTTGTTTTTGTAAATCCAGATACGACCATATAAGGACGGACAAATCAGAGGCCTTCATTCAGGGGAAACTCCAGCAACATGTCTGTTACAATGGAAATTGAATAAATTAAAATCTGCTCCACATTAATGCTAACACCGTCTTCACACTAATACAGATGTATTGTGATGTCACACTGGTCAGTCTGTGCTGGCCCCGCCCCTGACCGTGATGATTGGTGGATGTGTTTCTGGTTCAGAGCGTCCTGAATACCATGTGTGGATGTGTTTCTGGTTCAGAGCGTCCTGAATACCATGTGTGGATGTGTTTCTGGTTCAGAGCGTCCTGAATACCATGTGTGGATGTGTTTCTGGTTCAGAGCGTCCTGAATACCATGTGTGGATGTGTTTCTGGTTCAGAGCGTCCTAAATACCACGTGTGGATGTGTTTCTGGTTCAGAGCGTCCTGAATACCATGTGTGGATGTGTTTCTGGTTCAGAGTGTCCTGAATACCATGTGTGGATGTGTTTCTGGTTCAGAGTGTCCTGAATACCATGTGTGGATGTGTTTCTGGTTCAGAGCGTCCTGAATACCATGTGTGGATGTGTTTCTGGTTCAGAGTGTCCTGAATACCATGTGTGGATGTGTTTCTGGTTCAGAGCATCCTGAATACCATGTGTGGATGTGTTTCTGGTTCAGAGTGTCCTGAATACCATGTGTGGATGTGTTTCTGGTTCAGAGTGTCCTGAATACCATGTGTGGATACGGGATGCAGAGGCTGGAGGAGTTCTCTGCTCAGGACAAGGTCTTCACCGAGGGCTGTCTCCAGAAGACCATCCTGTGGACCAAGACCCACCTCCTGCTGGTGACCGGACTGACGGCGGGTCTGCTGCTGCTGGAGGTGAGGCTGAGGGGGAGGGGGAGGGTGAGGGGGAGGGTGAGGCTGAGGCTGAGGGGGAGGATGAGGCTGTGGCTGAGACTGAGGCTGAGGCTGAAGCTGAGACTGAGGCTGAGGCTGAGGCTGTGGCTGAGACTGAGGGTGAGACTGAGGCTGAGACTGAGGCTGAGGCTGAGGGTGAGACTGAGGCTGAAGCTGAGACTGAGGCTGTGGCTGAGACTGAGGCTGAGGCTGAGACTGAGGCTGTGGCTGAGGCTGAGACTGAGGGTGAGACTGAGGCTGAGACTGAGGCTGAGGCTGAGGGTGAGACTGAGGCTGAGACTGAGGCTGAGGCTGAGGGTGAGACTGAGGCTGAGGCTGAGGCTGAGACTGAGACTGAGGCTGAGGCTGAAGCTGAGACTGAGGCTGAGGCTGAGGCTGAGGCTGAGGCTGAAGCTGAGACTGAGGCTGAGGCTGTGGCTGAGACTGAGACTGAGGGTGAGACTGAGGCTGAGGCTGAGACTGAGGCTGAGGCTGAGGGTGAGACTGAGGCTGAAGCTGAGACTGAGGCTGTGGCTGAGACTGAGGCTGAGGCTGAGGCTGAGACTGAGGCTGAGGCTGTGGCTGAGGCTGAGACTGAGGGTGAGACTGAGGCTGAGACTGAGGCTGAGGGTGAGACTGAGGCTGAGACTGAGGCTGAGGCTGAGGGTGAGACTGAGGCTGAGGCTGAGGCTGTGGCTGAGACTGAGACTGAGGGTGAGACTGAGGCTGAAGCTGAGACTGAGGCTGTGGCTGAGGACTGAGGCTGAGACTGAGGCTGAGGCTGAGGCTGAGGCTGTGGCTGAGGGTGAGACTGAGGCTGAGACTGAGGCTGAGGCTGAGGGTGAGACTGAGGCTGAAGCTGAGACTGAGGCTGTGGCTGAGGACTGAGGACTGAGGCTGAGGCTGAGACTGAGGCTGAGGCTGTGGCTGAGGCTGAGGCTGAGGCTGAGGCTGTGGCTGAGGCTGAGGCTGAGGCTGTGGCTGTGGCTGTGGCTGAGGCTGAGGCTGAGACTGAGGCTGAGGCTGAGGCTGAGGCTGAGACTGAGGCTGAGGCTGAGGCTGAGGCTGAGGCTGAGGCTGAGGACTGAGGCTGAGGCTGAGGCTGAGGCTGAGGCTGTGGCTGAGGCTGTGGCTGTGGCTGTGGCTGTGGCTGAGGCTGAGACTGAGGCTGAGGCTGAGGCTGAGGCTGAGGCTGTGGCTGAGGCTGTGGCTGTGGCTGAGGCTGAGACTGAGGCTGAGGCTGAGGACTGAGGCTGAGACTGAGGATGAGGCTGTGGCTGAGGCTGTGGCTGACGCTGAGGCTGAGGCTGAGGCTGTGGCTGAGACTGAGGCTGAGGCTGAGACTGAGGGCGAGACTGAGGCTGAGGCTGAGGGTGAGACTGTGGCTGAGGCTGTGGCTGAGGCTGTGGCTGTGGCTGAGGCTGAGACTGAGGCTGAGGCAGAGGACTGAGGCTGAGACTGAGGCTGAGGCTGTGGCTGAGGCTGTGGCTGAGGCTGAGGCTGAGGCTGAGACTGAGGCTGAGGCTGAGACTGAGGCTGAGGCTGTGGCTGAGGCTGTGGCTGTGGCTGAGGCTGTGGCTGAGGCTGAGGCTGTGGCTGAGACTGAGGCTGAGGCTGAGACTGAGACTGAGGGTGAGGGTGAGACTGAGGCTGAGGCTGAGGGTGAGACTGAGGCTGTGGCTGAGACTGAGGCTGAGACTGAGGCTGAGGCTGAGGCTGTGGCTGAGACTGAGGCTGAGGCTGAGGCTGAGACTGAGGCTGAGGGTGAGACTGAGGCTGAGGCTGTGGCTGAGACTGAGGCTGTGGCTGAGGCTGAGGCTGTGGCTGAGGCTGAGGACTGAGGCTGAGGCTGTGGCTGAGACTGAGGCTGTGGCTGAGGCTGAGGCTGTGGCTGAGGCTGAGGACTGAGGCTGAGACTGAGGCTGAGGCTGTGGCTGAGGCTGAGGCTGAGGCTGAGACTGAGGCTGTGGCTGAGGCTGAGGCTGAGGCTGTGGCTGAGGCTGTGGCTGTGGCTGAGGCTGAGGCTGAGACTGAGGCTGAGGCTGAGGCTGAGGCTGAGACTGAGGCTGAGGCTGAGGCTGAGGCTGAGACTGAGGCTGAGGCTGAGGCTGAGGCTGAGGACTGAGGCTGAGGCTGAGGCTGTGGCTGAGGCTGTGGCTGTGGCTGTGGCTGTGGCTGAGGCTGAGACTGAGGCTGAGGCTGAGGCTGAGGCTGAGGCTGAGGCTGTGGCTGAGGCTGTGGCTGTGGCTGAGGCTGAGACTGAGGCTGAGGCTGAGGACTGAGGCTGAGACTGAGGATGAGGCTGTGGCTGAGGCTGTGGCTGACGCTGAGGCTGAGGCTGAGGCTGTGGCTGAGACTGAGGCTGAGGCTGAGACTGAGGGCGAGACTGAGGCTGAGGCTGAGGGTGAGACTGTGGCTGAGGCTGTGGCTGAGGCTGTGGCTGTGGCTGAGGCTGAGACTGAGGCTGAGGCTGAGGACTGAGGCTGAGACTGAGGCTGAGGCTGTGGCTGAGGCTGTGGCTGAGGCTGAGGCTGAGGCTGAGACTGAGGCTGAGGCTGAGACTGAGGCTGAGGCTGTGGCTGAGGCTGAGGCTATGGCTGAGGCTGTGGCTGTGGCTGAGGCTGTGGCTGAGGCTGAGGCTGTGGCTGAGACTGAGGCTGAGGCTGAGGCTGAGACTGAGACTGAGGGTGAGGGTGAGACTGAGGCTGAGGCTGAGGGTGAGACTGAGGCTGAGGCTGTGGCTGAGACTGAGGCTGAGACTGAGGCTGAGGCTGAGGCTGTGGCTGAGACTGAGGCTGAGGCTGAGGCTGAGACTGAGGCTGAGGGTGAGACTGAGGCTGAGGCTGTGGCTGAGACTGAGGCTGTGGCTGAGGCTGAGGCTGTGGCTGAGGCTGAGGCCTGAGGCTGAGGCTGAGACTGAGGCTGAGACTGAGGCTGAGGCTGTGGCTGAGGCTGTGGCTGAGGCTGAGGCTGAGGCTGAGGCTGAGACTGAGGCTGAGGCTGAGGCTGTGGCTGTGGCTGAGACTGAGGCTGAGGCTGAGGCTGAGGCTGTGGCTGAGGACTGAGGCTGAGACTGAGGCTGAGGCTGAGGCTGAGACTGAGGCTGAGGCTGAGGCTGAGGCTGTGGCTGAGGCTGAGACTGAGGCTGTGGCTGTGGCTGAGGCTGTGGCTGAGGCTGAGGACTGAGACTGAGGCTGAGGCTGAGGCTGAGACTGAGGCTGTGGCTGAGGCTGAGGCTGAGGCTGAGGCTGAGACTGAGGCTGAGGCTGAGACTGAGGCTGAGGCTGAGGCTGAGGCTGAGGGTGAGACTGAGGCTGTGGCTGAGACTGAGGCTGAGACTGAGGCTGAGGCTGAGGCTGTGGCTGAGGCTGTGGCTGAGGCTGAGGCTGAGGCTGAGGCTGAGGCTGAGGCTGAGGCTGTGGCTGTGGCTGAGGCTGAGGCTGAGGCTGTGGCTGAGGACTGAGGCTGAGACTGAGGCTGAGACTGAGACTGAGGCTGTGGCTGAGGCTGAGGCTGAGGCTGAGACTGAGGCTGAGGCTGAGACTGAGGCTGTGGCTGAGGCTGAGGCTGAGACTGAGACTGAGGCTGAGGGTGAGACTGAGGCTGTGGCTGAGACTGAGGCTGAGACTGAGGCTGAGACTGAGGCTGAGGCTGAGGCTGAGGACTGAGGCTGAGGCTGAGACTGAGGCTGAGGCTGAGACTGAGGCTGTGGCTGAGGCTGTGGCTGAGGCTGAGGCTGAGGCTGTGGCTGAGACTGAGGCTGAGGCTGAGACTGAGACTGAGGGTGAGACTGAGGCTGACGCTGAGGGTGAGACTGAGGCTGAGGCTGAGGCTGAGACTGAGGCTGAGGCTGTGGCTGAGACTGAGGCTGAGACTGAGGCTGAGGCTGTGGCTGAGACTGAGGCTGAGGCTGAGGCTGAGGCTGAGGCTGAGGGTGAGACTGAGACTGAGGCTGAGGCTGAGGCTGAGACTGAGGCTGAGGCTGAGGCTGTGGCTGAGGCTGTGGCTGAGGCTGAAGCTGTGGCTGAGGCTGAGGACTGAGGCTGAGGCTGAGACTGAGGCTGAGACTGAGGCTGAGGCTGTGGCTGAGGCTGTGGCTGAGGCTGAGGCTGAGGCTGTGGCTGAGACTAAGGCTGAGGCTGAGACTGAGGGTGAGGGTGAGACTGAGGCTGAGGGTGAGACTGAGGCTGAGGCTGTGGCTGAGACTGAGGCTGAGGCTGAGACTGAGGGTGAGACTGAGGCTGAGACTGAGGCTGTGGCTGAGGCTGTGGCTGAGGCTGAGGACTGAGGCTGAGACTGAGGCTGAGACTGAGGCTGAGGCTGAGGCTGTGGCTGAGGCTGTGGCTGAGGCTGTGGCTGAGGCTGTGGCTGTGGCTGAGGCTGAGGCTGTGGCTGTGGCTGAGACTGAGGCTGAGGCTGAGGCTGTGGCTGAGGCTGTGGCTGAGGACTGAGGCTGAGGCTGAGACTGAGGCTGAGACTGAGGCTGAGGCTGAGGCTGTGGCTGTGGCTGAGGCTGTGGCTGAGACTGAGGCTGAGGCTGAGACTGAGACTGAGGGTGAGACTGAGGCTGAGGCTGAGGGTGAGACTGAGGCTGAGGCTGTGGCTGAGACTGAGGCTGAGGCTGTGGCTGAGGCTGAGACTGAGGCTGAGGCTGAGGCTGTGGCTGAGGCTGAGGCTGAGGCTGTGGCTGAGGCTGAGGCTGAGGCTGAGGCTGAGGCTGAGACTGAGGCTGAGGCTGAGGCTGTGGCTGAGGCTGAGGCTGAGGCTGTGGCTGAGACTGAGGCTGAGGCTGAGACTGAGGCTGTGGCTGTGGCTGAGGCTGTGGCTGAGGCTGAGGCTGTGGCTGAGGCTGAGACTGAGGCTGAGGCTGAGACTGAGGCTGAGGACTGAGGCTGAGGCTGAGACTGAGGCTGAGGCTGAGGCTGTGGCTGTGGCTAAGACTGAGGCTGAGGCTGAGACTGAGGCTGTGGCTGAGGCTGTGGCTGAGGGCTGAGGCTGAGACTGAGGCTGAGGCTGAGGCTGAGTCTGTGGCTGTGGCTGAGGTTGAGGCTGTGGCTGAGGCTGTGGCTGTGGCTGAGGCTGAGGCTGTGGCTGAGGCTGAGGCTGAGGCTGTGGCTGAGGCTGAGGCTGAGGCTGAGACTGAGGCTGAGGCTGAGGCTGTGGCTGAGGCTGAGGCTGAGGCTGTGGCTGAGACTGAGGCTGAGGCTGAGACTGAGGCTGTGGCTGTGGCTGAGGCTGTGGCTGAGGCTGAGGCTGTGGCTGAGGCTGAGACTGAGGCTGAGGCTGAGACTGAGGCTGAGGACTGAGGCTGAGGCTGAGACTGAGGCTGAGGCTGAGGCTGTGGCTGTGGCTAAGACTGAGGCTGAGGCTGAGACTGAGGCTGTGGCTGAGGCTGTGGCTGAGGGCTGAGGCTGAGACTGAGGCTGAGGCTGAGGCTGAGTCTGTGGCTGTGGCTGAGGTTGAGGCTGTGGCTGAGGCTGTGGCTGTGGCTGAGGCTGAGGCTGTGGCTGTGGCTGTGGCTGAGGCTGAGGCTGAGGCTGTGGCTGAGGCTGAGGCTGAGGCTGAGACTGAGGGTGAGACTGAGGCTGAGGGTTAGACTGAGGCTGAGGCAGAGGGTGAGACTGAGACTGAGGGTGAGACTGAGGCTGAGACTGTGGCTGAGGCTGAGGCTGAGACTGAGGCTGTGGCTGAGGCTGAGGCTGAGGACTGAGGCTGAGGCTGAGACTGAGGCTGAGGCTGAGGGTGAGACTGAGACTGAGGCTGAGACTGAGGCTGTGGCTGTGGCTGAGGCTGAGGCTGAGGACTGAGGCTGAGGCTGAGGCTGAGGCTGTGGCTGAGGCTGAGGCTGTGGCTGAGGCTGTGGCTGAGGCTGTGGCTGAGGCTGTGGCTGTGGCTGAGGCTGAGGCTGAGACTGAGGCTGAGGCTGAGGCTGAGGCTGAAGCTGAGACTGAGGCTGAGGCTGAGGCTGAGGCTGAAGCTGAGACTGAGGCTGAGGCTGAGGCTGTGGCTGAGACTGAGACTGAGGGTGAGACTGAGGCTGAGACTGAGGCTGAGGCTGAGGGTGAGACTGAGGCTGAAGCTGAGACTGAGGCTGTGGCTGAGACTGAGGCTGAGGCTGAGGCTGAGGCTGAGGCTGAGGCTGTGGCTGAGGCTGAGACTGAGGGTGAGACTGAGGCTGAGGCTGAGACTGAGGCTGAGGCTGAGGGTGAGACTGAGGCTGAGACTGAGGCTGAGGGTGAGACTGAGGCTGAGGCTGTGGCTGAGACTGAGACTGAGGGTGAGACTGAGGCTGAAGCTGAGACTGAGGCTGTGGCTGAGGACTGAGGCTGAGGCTGAGGCTGAGACTGAGGCTGAGGCTGAGGCTGAGGCTGTGGCTGAGGGTGAGACTGAGGCTGAGACTGAGGCTGAGGCTGAGGGTGAGACTGAGGCTGAAGCTGAGACTGAGGCTGT